ATCATATCTAGTCTACTATCAATGTATAAATTTGACTTGTAATGCTCTGCTAAGTGCAAGTGTTGACCTACAAATACATATTGCAGTAAATTAGTCTACTGATCAATGTCTTAGTGTACTAAAAATCTATATAAAAAGTACCAGACTTAGCCTATATATCATATTACAGGTTGAAGGTATTTGTTGTAATAATTAAATTTCATTCCTTCGACCAGAATCAGTTGCCTGTATAAGAGTGTTCAGTAACTTAATAAATAGCTTGAAATAAGCTTAGTGAAGATGTAGTCCAACAATTGACAAAATGTCAAAATACAGAGTCAAACATTACTCCTTAAAGTGATACTACGTCTTAGAATGAAGATAAAAATATTTCTCAAGAATGGTCAATACCAGTATATATTCATCAGTTAGCTTACCTGGTGTCATAAAGTTACAAAAGAATTCCTGTAAAATCTAGAAAATTGGAAAATTCATAAAATTTGTTATTATTGAAAAATGCTTAATCATAATATTAAGCGGTTTTCAATAGTTAATTGCATTATTATTAAGTTTTTTGGGATTTATCGGATTATATAAGGATCATGTTATGTTATTTATGACACCAGGTATATCTACTGATGAATATATGCTCTTATTGGCCAAGTTTAAAATTTTTAAATTTTATGTTTAAGCTTATTCTAAGACATAGTATCCCTTTAATAGATGTCAATCACTTTAAAAGTTCATGACCTCCACCATGAACTGATGGCTTTCAGGAAAAGGGCGGAGGAAAATTTCATAATTTTCACTTCTCAACAATTCTGAAATTGAAGGACTTCATTCAGACTTGGGCCCTTGGGAGATATTATGTATGTTATTCTATGCGTGAAGTGCATATTTGATCTTTTGTCCTATTTCACAATTTGAATTTAAAAATGTTGTCTACTCAGTGCAGACAAGATAGCTAGTGATATTGGCTTTGGCTGTGGCTAGTGGTAGAAGTAGACGAACGTTTTGGACTACGTATTAGGGCCTATTGCTAACAGTAAGTCTCAGTAACATATCTTGTGAAGACGAAGATTCAAAACCTTTCATGCACCAAAGACCACAGGACAGGCTAGACCGATTGATTTTTGGCAATAATTAATACTTTTAACGCACTGTTATTACCTAGCAAGAATTTCCTGTAATTAGAAAAGACTCATTGTTGTACAAGAAGTATTGAGAATAGCCAACAAAATTATTTTCTGACAAGACGCTCACTTCCGCCGGAAGTTCTGATCTCAGAAAGAAAAGTCTCGGTACTTAGACTTAAGATGATTAAAAAATACAAAACTGTCACAAGCTGCACAATACTCTTTCATTCAGTTCTATTTCGATGGGTTCTGTTGATTAGATCTAAATGATACAATTTCCCTTTGTACAGTTACGTCGGAGCTACTGAATTTATCAAACCAAGGGGAATTAACTCTGTATATTAACATCAACTTCAGACTACTATTAATAATATTGAACATGTAGGCCTATATCACTATGCGTTGATCGGGATCATGATTAGTAGACAATATGTAAATGAAATGAAATGAATGTAGTTTTACGTCCTACTTTTCTGCACCATGTGGGCTAATGAAGACGGGCAACGCCATGCAGGGTGCAATGAGGGAAATTTTGCCAGGACAGCGGCATTAGTCTGCTCTTTTTCGAGGGATCTTAACGTGCACAGCCTGTAGCACACGGGGCCTCGGTTTATTGTCCCATCCGAACGACAGTAGACAATATGTAGACAATGGAAACATTAGTTGTAAATATGACATTGAAAGATTTTGACAGTGTAGAACTCATTTAGGTAGGCTATATTAAATGAAATATCTCAATATTTGAAACACAGAGTAGCCTTTCAAGGAGATTAGACTCGTCAGCGGCTAATCAAAATCGTAAAATAAGGTATTTTGAGAATAAGAGACGAAATCACATCTCTGTGGAATGAGTAGGCTAGTCGCTCCACCCAAAGACAGGACATTGTGCACTTAATTTTAATTCCCTGGCTTCATCACATACAAAAATCATCATTCAACTAGGCTAATCGAAGTATGCAAAACCCCTTGAATATCTAGTATATAATTCCAATATATAATTACACCCAGGAGATATGACCCTCAAAGCGATGAAAAAATATTAGCTTTGACTATTGTCAAATTTGAAAGTGATCCTTCTGAATAATTCAGACAATAGAGTTTGAATTATTATGTTAGAAGGAAATAATGAACTAGAACAATGAGACCCTTTTTCTATTTTTATAAGCTATTTATATCGTCTTATTTCGGAGGAATTCAGTAATCAATATAAAAGTTTCTGACATCAATGTAAGATTATGTGGCTGAGGGTATCCCAATACCCGACACAAAATTTCTCTCGTAACAACCAGACCAATGTAATGTAAGTTTATAACCATATTTTGACCTACACATACACTACACTTGTGTAGTCTTCTAACTTTCTAGGGCATTTGTCAGCGGCTTTTTTTTAGGCACATGTTCCTTTAGCAACAGTACGATGATTATTCACATCCAGATTATCATTATCACCGTACCGTTGTTAAAAGAACATAATTTATTGAGTGCTTTTTGGGCTATGCCCCCCACCACCCCCCCCCCCCCGC